CCATCCCCTGTTTGTTGTTTTTTTTTTTTTTTGTGTTTTTTTTTTTTTTTTTTTTTTTTTTTTTTTTTTTTTTTTTTGCTTTGCTTTCATTCCCTTTGATGGCAGAGCTGCGCTCCCTCCGCCTCAGCCAGGGCTGGGCGAGATGCTTTGCCCCTTTCCCTCCCCGTTCCCTTGGTGGCCAACTGACACCCCCACCCCAAGATGGGGGTCTGGGGGGGGTGTCCTGCTATCTGCCTCGACTCCCCTAGGGCAGCCCTGCCTGAACAGGCAGGGAAGGCAGGGGAAGGGGCACAGGGGGGAAGAGGGCTGCTCTGGTGACCCTCAGCCATTCCTCCCTCCCCAGGGCCGTGCTTGGAAAACCAGGGTGGCAGGAGAAGAGGGGATGGGGCAGGAGGGGAAGATGCTCCTGGCCGAGCCTTTGGGCTCATTTGGAGTATGGGCTCATGAAACCAGACAGCAGAGCGCTAGAAATAAATAAGGAAAGGGGAAAAGGGATGTGCTCGGAGGATGCCCGCACACTGGCATCCCACCAAGGCTGAACCACGCTTGGGGTGGACAGAGGTCACCTTCCCACTCCCTGTTGGGGCTGATGAGGCAGGGACCCTTGCCGTACCAGAGATGCCTGTGGGTACAGCGAGGTCCTCCTGAAACAGAAGCAGGGCAAGGCGAGACCCAGGGGCAGACGTACAGGGAAGGGGTGGAGGGACAAGCCACATCACTGGTGCGGGGGAAAGAGGGAGGCTGCCAAGGACCCCCCTCCCCCTCCCTCCCAGGAGGGCAGCGCAGGGGGCTCCAGCATTGCCCCAGCGAGGCTCGGCAGTCTGGAAGGGGAGAAAGGGGCTCCCTGCTTCAGGGCTGCCGCCGGGCTCCTCGGTGCTGGGGAGGGGGCAAGGGGCTGCTCATGCCTTCCTCCCTTCCTCGCAGGCAGCAAAGCCCGCCTTGCTGGCGCCCCCGAAGACCTCCACCGCCTGGTCATCCCACTGGATCACGTTGCCTTGAAGGTGGGAGGTGCAGTTGGCCAAGCCCAGGATCTCCGCTGGTGCCAGCATGTGGTCCCACACGCTGAACTGCGCCAGCTCCCCCACGAAGGCCTGCGTGGCATCAAAGCGGCCTCCCAGTGTGTCCTGGGAAAGAGAAGGAGAGGTGATAGGACAGGGATGGGGACAGCAGAAGGGACATGCAGCCGGTGGACAGGGGGTAGAGGGAGAAGTTTGGGTGGAAGCAGAACAAGATGCCCGATGGCAAGGAGGGGAAGGGATGGATGTGTGGGGGAGATGCAAGAAGACAAGGCAGGGAGCAAATAGGGGACAGAGGGTTGGGAGAGAGGGAAGAGGAGAAGACAGTGAGTGCACGTGGCCCACCCAGAGGTCAGATGAGCGGGCAGGAGAGCCCCTCGCCCACACTGCCAATGTGCCCTGCCTGCGCAGCCCCTCGTCTTTGCCCCATTTGGGGACTGCCATCCCAGGCAGCTTCGCACCAGAGCGATGCGAACCAGCAGCCCTTGGTGGCAGGCCGGCACATACCTGCTCCTGGCCCAGGATGATGACGCCTTGAGGCTTGATGGCATGCCAGGAGGCCAGGTTCTCGCCGGCGCCACGCTGCTCGCCATCCTGGTACGCCGACCACTTGCCATCCCGGGTGGTCCATGCCACACAGATGTGGTGCCAGGCCTTGTCCTTCAGGCTCAGTGGCAGTTGGGCAACCTTCGTGAGAAGAGCAAGAGCCCGGCACTTGGTAGGACTGTCGGGGGACCCTGGTGTTCCCCCAGCCCCTTGGAGAGCAGGCAGTGCACCCCCACAATGGTGGCACCCCAAATTCTACAGACACCTGGATGTCCTACTTCTGCCTCTCAAAACACACCCCGGTGAGCCATCCTCCCCATCCTCCTCCCTCTCCCCTTTACCTGGGGCCCTTTCCTTCCAGTTCCCCCACCCCAGTACCCCCAGGAGCATCATTTCCCAGGAGGGTTGAAGCAAGGGAGATGAGGGCAGGGGCTTCCCACCCGTCACCCCTCCGGCTGGACTGACTTTGTCATTGATGAGCAGTTCCAGGGGGTTGGTGCCCCATTCCAGCAGCACGATCTCATTGGCTTGGCTTGGGACAGAGTAGGAGAAAGGAGTGCCAAGTCCTGCCAGGGCCTTGGACTTCAGCCACATGCATATGGTGAAGGCGTAGAGCTCCGGCAGGGTCTTCTTCATGCGGGCATACATGTAGTTGTTCTGCACTGGGATGGTCACCTTGAAAGCATCAGGAGGACTGTAGCCTGGTGGTCCTATGTGTCAAAAATGGAGAGGAGAGAGGAGGGTCAGAACGCATTGTTGGGATGAGTTGGGCTTGTCCTAGAACCCCTCCATGCCACCTCCATCCCTGTTGGGCAGGACTCACCGTGCTCCAGCTCCGTCACCCGGTTCTGGAGGGAGTTCAGCTCCTTCTCAATGTTGTGCTGCTGCTGGCTGCGGTCAGTGTTGGCGGCCTGGCGCTCCTTCTGCAGGGTCAGGATTTTGGAGAGGAGCTGCTCCTCCAGCTGCTCCATCTTGGTGTGGAGGGCATCGCGGGCGAGCGCCGGGGCAGTGGGTAACGAGCCATTGGTGCGGGCTGGCAGCTCCTGCTGCACTTGGCGGCAGCCACGATGGGGGCAGGTAAGGAGGGATAAAAGAGAAAAGTCAGCGTGGTGTCACCATGAGAGGTTATATAAGGACATGCCCAGCCTGCACCACCATGGGGACTACTGGGAGCACAACCCCACATCTGCAGCAGGGGTCTTCTCCAAGAGCCTCCAGCTGACTTTGTACCTCCTGAGAAGGTACAGAGCCCCCATTGATTTTGTTACTGCAAAATGAAGCTTGGCTGCTCTTAATGACTTTCTGCCGCTTCAGAGACAGAGCAAGGAAGGGACGCACGGGTGCTCCAGTCATCCCTTGGCTCTGCTCCCACAGGCAGCCTCCCATGAGGAGGGGACAACACGGGAAGGAGCTTGGAGCTCCCCTTCCCCACTGCACGGGAGACACGTTAACATCACATAACGGGGCTGTAATCCTCTTAGCCCAGCTCAGCCGACATGCGGGGGTGTGTGCACGCGTGCCAGGTTGGACAGGTAGCTCTTCATAAGCATAAGCCAGCCTCTCCCGGGCCAGCGGGATGCCACAGAGAAGTAGGGCCAGTGGTAGATCCTCTGGTCCTCGAGACATGACCCCTCGCTTGAGGACATCGAGCACATTTTGTCCCTTCAGGGTTAAAACCCAGACCAAAATTCTTCCCTTGGCTGATCCAAAACCTGATGCCTGGTGAAGATGCTCCCAACTGCTACTGCACCCTGAAAACACCGCAGATCCCATCTTGCTGGGAGACCCCATCCCAGCTGGAAGAAAATCAGGCTGGAAGGGAGAAGGTGGCCCTTTGCCATGCTCTTGGAGTTTCTCTGTAAATAGCAGATCTCTCCCTTCCCCATGTCCTTGGGGTGTTAAGCTCTCTACCATGGGCTTGGAAAGACGGTGACCACCTTCTCCATGCTGCCAGACCTTCCTGAAGGTGCCGGAGCAGCCATGATGGCCCCTGCCTTAGCCTTTGGCAGACAGTCTGGCAGAGGCCAAGACTGGGGCCACCACAGCTGCTCCGGCACTGAGAGGGGTCTGCAAGGCTGCTTCAGCCCTGGACATTCACATGGCTTATGTTGGTAGGACACAGTGTGATGCCATCCCTGCTGATCTGGACAGGCGCCCCCCGGCCTTGGAGCTGGCCCAGAGGAGGTCACCACGCTCGTCTGTGGTTGTAGCTTCCAGCTTTTTCTTCTTCCCTATATCCCACTTTTCCAGGATGGACAGGACTTGATGATCACACACACAAAGATGCAAGGGGGATATGTCACCCCCAATCTTTGCTGTCCATCATGAACAACAGAGAGGAGGGGAAGGCCAGAGGAAAGCCGAGCAGGATGCAACCTTGGTGGATGGGAAGAGCAGGGAGAAGGGTGTGAGAAGATGATGTTGGCATGAGCACAAACAGCCCCGTACCGGGCAGGAACACACTCAGGCTGCAAATGAGACGGCAGCTGCAATGCCCTGAGGTCTGGAAAAACCTCCAGCGGGGTCTGCCAGAACAAAGCCACAGGTTTTGCAAGGAGAAACAACACAGAGAACCAAAACCAAGCAAGAAAAGAGAGGTTGTGCAGGGGACATCTGCCAGCCCTGACCAAACGCCTGCTCTCACTGCCAGCTTGCTCCGGCAGCACTGGGGAAGCTCTCGCAGAGAGCAAAACCTCTCCGGGAAGGGAAAAGTGCCAGCAAAGGGGATCCTACCTTTGGTCTCCATAAAACAGGGATGGATTAGCCGACAGAGAGGGGGTTTCAGCCCTTTTTGGGGGGTGGGGGTCTTGGGGACCTGCCAGTGCAGCCGACTGAGAAGCAGGGGTGGGCTGGCAGGAGGGAAGGAAAAGCGAGTGGAAAGGTTAATTCCCATCCTCCCAGCAGGGATAATTCCCACCCAGGGCTGCCCGCGCCCATATCCAAGCTGTGTTGGTGGGGGGCAGGGCAGGTGGGACGGGGGTCGCCTTCGCCTCTTTGTCCGCATCCCCGTGGGCTCCGAGAGCTTTTTCTCATCCCTTCAGGCCGCCTGGCTGCGGCGGAGGCTGGCACACTCCTGTCTGCCGCACGCTTTGATTGCTCGAGCTGCGGGTTTGGAGCCTACGTCCCTGCTTTCATGCACGGCTCCATCTGTCAATGACGAAAAAAGAAAAGGCTCGGAGCTTTTGTCGCTCTCGCTAGCCCCCGATAGCCTGCCCTACATTATTCAGTAGTGACTGAGTGCTTTTTTTCCCCCCCCCTCCTCCTCCTGCTTTTCTCCCCGCTGCTATTTTCTTCCCTCTGTAACTTTTTTCCCCTATGGCTTTTTCATTTCTCTGGCTTTGGAGAGTCTCCTCCTGATGCTCCCCCTGCACGCGCACACACACACACTCTCCCCTTTTGCTCAATTCCTTCCCCCTTCCCGAGTTTTTCCCCCTCCATACCTCCCTCCAGCTCTCCCTGGTCCCTCCAGCCCAGCAGTCAGAGCACTGACAGCCGGACCCACACAACCAGCCGAACCACGACCGGCCCCGTGTTCCTCATGGCAAGGGATGCAGCCCGTAACCTCATCCAGCAGAATTTGGGGGCCACCTCATCATCCCAGAAGCATCCCAGCGGACACCATCCCTGCAGCCAGACGGGAGACCGGACCTCCCCATCCCACCCTCCGCAGTCGGGACATGCCGGGTGATCTCCCCCCACCCCGTGCTGAGCTTGGGCTGCATCCCCTAAGCATCCTCCGCATCTCCGAGCTGTTGCTTGAGCATCTTTCTCCCAAATCAAATTATTTGCAAAATTATTAATGCAAGCTGTGCAGCTGTTATCTACCGGTGACCTTTTTTGG